GGGCCCTGAAAGTCTGTCTGGCGCACAATGCGGGTGAGGAATTGCTTAATGAGACATAAAAATTAACGCCCCGTCGTTCGTAGTGGAGGCCGCGCGAAAGATGAAGTTTTGTGCGGGTGGGGGTGGGAGGAAAAAGGCCGCGCTGCCACCCGTGCGTGCGCGAGGGCGCGGGTTTGGGGTGGGGAGACGAAGATAGGGGGAGGGGGCGGTGCGCCCTCGGCGAAGGGCGTGAGTCGGCGGGCGTTCTATTCATCTCACCATTCACTGAGCGATGTTTTCACTCCATCATTTCAGATCGTCTTAGCAGCACTAACATCCAATGTAAGTTTGATGATGGTTTCTTTCGACTGTTACCGGAATGCATTAACGATCTTCCAACACATACGTCGAAATAAGGATGCACTAGTTTCAGGTAGCTCAGGCAATGCAATCATTTCCTCTCTCTTCTTCAGGATACCGAAATTTAATTAAAAGATGCTATGCTAAACGTATGTTTTTAGTTATATTCAGCCAATAAGCAGTAAAAAACCGTACAAGAGTAGAACGAAGTTCATTGCAACATATCAGAATGATTTAAATTATTTTCTTTTTAAATGCATCTTCGGGAATTTTAAGATTGATGGATAGTAACTTCTAACAATTATTAACTCCAATTTCTTCCTGAAATTAGATGGTTCATAATAATATGTCAATTGGAGGTAAAGGCACACTCAATGAAAAAAAATAAGGAATTTTCTGTATTTCTTCATATGTTTGAAACTTCTAAATAAATGCAAATTCATTTTTGCAGACGTGAAAATTTAGTTCAAATGAAAATCAGATGATGCGTATAAAACTGAGTAAATAATATGATTATTTAGTATTGTATAGTTTTGAATATTTATTATGAATAATAAATATCATTGCGGTTTTATAATAATCGCGAATTTCCAAACCATTAAGCGCAACGATTCCAAGAGAAACCACGAGCTAGAAGTTGTAAAGGGCGCGAATCCAAATTTCGAAGTAAGACAAACAATTTTCTCGAATTACCTTCCGTGGCGCCCTACATGCACGTCAGATTGATTTAATGGAAATCTAATATATATGGAAATATTTTACAAATAATATATTATTGAAAAACTGTAATTAAATGAAGGAAAACAAAAATATATATTTTAAAAACTTTGGATGTTACGAAAATTACGGATAGCCAGATACACTAAGAAACATTTTTCCACTTCCAGACATTAAATTTATTTGAATTAAGAATAAATAAATATATAGATGGTAATATAGATATAGTAATATATGATTAATAGATAGAGCCCTGATTATTAACATGCACTTTTCGTTAGACAAATTTATAGTATTTTAATGAATTGGAACTATTTAAACAAATTCAAAAATAAGTAACCGAATAAATTATTGACGAAAAAATAAATAGTATGTAAAGGAATCATTATTTCTTCGTAACTTTTCTATTCAAACCTATCAAGTTTATTTGTAAAGTAATTATCCCAATATATCTTTTCGTGTCTCACTCTCTTCACATCATACCGGATAATGACAGCTGGAGAAGTGGGTATGCCTTTATTTCTTGATAATACATTTCCGTCACTGAAATTCCAATTCGGGTCGACTTCAAACTCGAATTACTGGAAGGGGAAGAAATATGAGCTCATTTTCGGAAGCTTCATACTGTCTGACCTCGGTGTATATGGACTTTTCCATTAGAGCGTAATAATTAGAGAGATTATTCGCTAGTATTGCAGTAGTGCGAGGTAGGGAGAAAAAAATGAAAAAAAAGAAAGAAAGAAAAAGAAGAAGAAGAAGAAGAAGAAGAAGAAGAAGAAGAAGAAAAAGAAGAAGAAAACGAAAGAAACAAATCATGAGCTGCACACGAGCTAGAACGAATGGATCTACGTATTCCAGAACTTCTCTTTCTCGAGAAGCATTCTACTCCGAGCACTGGAGGCGATGCTTCCTCTCGGATCCCTCTAAGTTCCAAGGCGGCCGCAGCGTTGCGCGCAGCGCGTGCGGCCGCAGCGACTCCAAACGACCTCCCCGCAACTTCCATTTAGAAGCGTTGCTACACGCAGTATCTTTGAATCGGAGTGATAGTTCTTAAACCAGTAGAATCTTGAAAGCTTTAATAATATTGAATGAGAGGCGAAATCATCGTATCAATATTGACAGCGCGCGACAGGGTTTCTCCTCGCAGGGAATGGATTGTGATATTTGTTTCACAAAGTTTGGAGCAGTGTTATGTAGTACAAAGATAGTGGTACATTTTGTTGGATGTTGGTGTATGATGGCTTCCTGCAGCGTAGGTACGTAGCACTTTTTTTCTGGATTTAGATTAAACAAAGCTTTTCTTGAAACAATTTATAAAAAAAAGGCAAAAAAAAACAAACCTTTGTTTTTCCGTTTTTACAAATCCTCCATTTTATTGAATAAAATCAGCATTTATATAAAAAACATGTAAAGAAGCAAGAATATGTTTAAATTTAAACTTTAATATTTCTTTATGATTTAATAAATTCTGGATACAATCTTACAGCTAGAACATTATAATTGCAACATTAATGTATTTTGTTAAAAGCATTTATTAGTATTGTCATTCGGTACTTCGGGATATTCGTTTTGCAGACGCAGCTCTTTGAGTTTTATACGCGCGTTGTTATCTCCACCAGTTAGATTCGTTTGATGGAGCAACACTAGTGAACCGCTCAGATCACACTCCGAGAAATAGCCCCTAGGTATCAATGTTAGATAACACCTTTTCCTAGAGCATAAACTGGATCGTTTTGTGAATATAATAATTATAGTTGAAAGCATTAGATCTGCCGCGATTAGCACATTATATATTTTTTAAATAGGTCGTGATCTGATTTGACCGTAGTAATTAAGGAAAATATCTCGCCTACTCTTATGTGGAAAAGGGAAGCAAGATACAATTTAGTTTAATAAAGTCATTTTTTTTGACATACGCTCATTAATTCTACGTAAATTATCCAAGCTGGTGAAATTGGTTTATTGTGATTTCCTTTCGATGCGGGAAATAATGCCAATCTTGATTGGGTAAACGGTTTCCTTTGTAATGTGAAATAGTTGCAATAATTATTAATATTACGAATTTTAAGTATAAAAAATTAATTATAAAATATTAAATAACTGAAAATTTGAGTATAGAATAAACGCGTATGTATAAAACCATGCTTAATTTTGTCATAGTATAACTTGATCAAGATTGCAGATTCAATGGGCATATGTAACATTAATACGAGAATATTTATGTTCAGTGCAATCAATAATTGTACGTCGAAGCGCAGAAACCAATTTGAGCCATTTTTGAGAAAACACTGTTTCCTTCCATCAAAAAATTGGTACGATTGTACTCAAAATTACATGAATACTACTCTTATTTCTGAAAACCGTGCATGACATTGTTTAGAGATCTAATTTTAAAGAACAGTTTTCATTAAGAAAAATCTTTGTCTTCAATATGGTAGTTGTAGGGGGAAGACGAAAAAAATTAAACTTCTGTTAATTAAGGTATTAGTGAACATCAGACCTGTGCCATTTTTGTAAGCGTACTTTGCTGTATTCGAGCAAACAAATCTCGAGTTATTTTTAAGAAAATTTTGGGAATGTCCTTCGGGCTTCATGTAAAGTACTACCAAAATTAAAAGATCCGCTCCAACTTCGAATGTCCACGACATTGGACAGATTGATTAGATTTTATCGATTTTGAAGAAAATGCGTGCATTCAATGTGTGCACGAACAATGTATAGCTATTCTGCTGCTCTCTTCCACCGAAATATTTTAAAACAATATTATAGATGATGAATTTTCTCTCTGACAAAGCAGCTGGAAGACTGTGCAGTCGTAGAAGTACTCGACGCGACCTCGCTCATCCTAAATTCTTATCGCTTAAATGGAAATACGACCCTGGTCGACGTCTAAAGAGCTAAACAGTGCCTAATGAAGAAAGTTCAAGAACTCAGACGGTTCAAGTCGGTACAATTTGGTTGTTCGGAAATCTTTATTATTATTGTTATTATTGTTATTATTAAATATATTTATGAAGTATTAGTTTGCAGCCAAATCACAAAACCCCCGACAGGATTTACAGTTCTGTAATATTGATGACAATTTACGAGACATTCAGAGCTGACTACTCTAATTCTGTGACGATTGAATCAGCGAAATTAGAGCGCGGTAACGACACAATTTTTGGTTTTCTCAGGTCAGAGCATGAACTACATAAATATAAAAGACAATTAAGAAAGACGTATAAAAATGAAATCAGAACAATTTTTAAAACAGACTTTTTTTTTAAAAAAAAGATTGCATTAACAGCTTGGTCACTAGTGACCACAGATTAACGATAGGGTTAACAGTATGATGTGATATGGTGATAGTGAGGGGTAAAAGGACGAACACAAATACAATGATGCCTGAGGCGGGGCTCAAACCCGCTATCCTTCAGTCCGATATCGCTACGGGACTACAGCCTTAACGATCTAGGTCATCTGAACGACAAAACAAACTTCGTTGTGGAAGTAAAATGGAGGATTTTCTTTTTCAACCGAATGTGCATGATCAGGTTGGTTTTGAGAAAGAAATGCATGCTAGGCGCTCTTTGCCCTATGTTGTAGCGGAAAAAGGTGTCATTCGGGCGACCGAAACAGGCGATTTGAATGTAGCTCGGAGGTTTTTCTCAGGCTTGAGGAGGTTTTACTCTAGTACATCTACAACATGGAACCATGGAGCCGGCTTAACTTTCTCTCCGAAGGATATTTCGTCCCTAAGAATCCATAGCTTCGTTTGGATTTGAACCCGCAAACTTGGCTATAAGTGTCCACCACGCTAACCATTAAACAACCGATGCCGCTAATACCAAGGTAATTAACAAAAGTCATTAATATATCAATTGTTTACGTTAAAAATATTGAATGTAGGTCAACAAATAAAATATATTTTATATACGTAACGAGATGAAATTCTCAGAAAAAACATTAATTTCAGTTTGTACCATCGTTTAGTCACCAAGTCTAATGTACTATGTGACGACGTGACATGACGTTGTACCAGTAAAAATGTGAACTGTGTCTGCGCTCAAAATAATAATTTTTTGCTTATTTGGAAATTATTTATATCGAACAAAATAACTTTAGAAAGACGAATTCCATCGTCTTGACTTATTTAAATTGATTTGAAGTTACGCGTTGCTAGGTTATCATTTTTGGATTGAAAAAATAACCCCTTCTAATCTTTAGCTGAGTACCATTTTGAATCAATATTTTGTAGTTCAATATTCATCATATTCACTAAACTTTTGCAGTTGACAAGAATTACAAGTCATCAACTTCTATCACGTATGTTACTGCATCAAATCTGCCTTATAAATTACAACTTGTTTCGGAATATAATTAATTTTACTTTGAATTATACATTAGTGATGTGAAATAACTTAGGATCTTTTACCCAAATGAGTAGCGTAAATCACGTAATGAGGAAGAGCTATCATAGAGCTCTGGGATCACGTATAAATATGATAACAACCTTTCTTTCGAAACATTTATAAGATACAACGCTGCTTTAAAAATCGCGTCTCTTACATAAAATAGGTATTGCGGTAGAATTTCCCTTGTAATCGTTGCCTCCCAATTATGAAGTAGAATTTAATGCATCATCGATGAAAAAGTATGAGAACGTGCAATGGAATGCTTCAGCCCTTCTAGACTAGAAACGAATCAGATGTCTGGAAAACACTATTTTAGATGCCGGATACTCTGATGCGCGATGTCGTTGACTCCTTCCAACAAATTCCAGGAGAATGCTGATGCATAAACTACGCGCGTCGGTTTGCAAACGATCACCCCCTCCTCTAATCGTCACGTCACCGGAACACTTCCCCCGCACAACACGAAGGCTCATGTCGCGAAGCCATCCGGGGGGGGGGCGTCGATCGCCACGGGGTCGGTGTTCTTGCTGGGGGTGGAGGGAAAACCCGTGTAAAGGGCCGACGCCTGAGCCCTGAGCCCTCGCCTCTTCCCGACTCCTACTACATACACAGACACACGTGCGCGCGCGGGCGAACCGATGCACAATTGATCCTATGAGGTGGCAGTGCTGGAACATGAGAAAGAATCAAGTAGACACTGTTTGGAATCTTTTTGTTTCTTGGCTGTAGATACGTTTTCCTTTTCGTACCTTATAGGTGTGCATGTTCTTAGAAAGATGTATGAGTGATGTAAATTAATTTCCAAGAAAAAAGAAATGAGCCTCACGAACAATAAAAATATCGTATGTTTATTTTTCATTTTACTTTGTAAGTATATTTTCTAAATTGATTTTCGTAATGTTAGGATTTTTAAGGCGTAGAGTTAGCCAATGTGAAAAGCAAATTAATTCTGATGTACAGTTGGTTACATGTTAACTGCCAAATTTATAAACAACGTGCAAGATTTATAGGATAAATCACCGTCTTCGAACAACACTAGCTTGTAAATCGTGCAACAGTAAAATATTTTCCAAACAATTTGGGTCAATTTGACAAGAATCTGTAATTTTGAAGTAATTTACATGAAGGCCATTTTCAACTATTTAAAAAAAAACACTCAAAAATTTAAACTTATATTTTGAATAGATAATTATCCACTGAATCGAATAATTCAAGAGCCATTATCATAAAAATTATTATTGAATTTTAAAATATTATGTGCATACGTTTTTCAAACCTCTCGCCAGTCCCTGATATTTACATTACAGACATAATTTATTCTTTGGTGCATTAGCATCGCAGGAAACGGTCTCCGGTTTCAAAAAATTGTGATAATATCAATAATCAAAAAGATCCGAAGCTATTTTTTAAATACCAAAACTATTTTTAAAACATTTCAAATTGAATTTTCTTAAGAGCGACTTGAATTTTTTTAAAAGGCCATATAAGAGGAGGTTTGCTCTTCCATGTACCGCTCCAAATAAAGGTTGACTACGACGTATGAAAATGATAGTGGCTTGCAAGCCACTCGTAAATCGAATTCTCGTGTCTCTAGAAGAACTCTATGGTACGTTCAGCCTGGCACAATGACAGGGACAAAACCTGACATATTTTTACAATTAGCCACTGTACTATACAAATAAGTAGATAAAAAAATTATGTTTAATTTTCATTGTGCAGCACTCTATGCATTGTTATCTTTCGTAATATAGCACATTAGTGGTTTACAGTTTACTTTTGTCTTACACAATATTGAATGTTTCCTCGAATGACTCCTATTGCGAGAGAGAGAGAGAGAGAGAGAGAGAGAGAGAGAGAGA